TTTAAGTTAACCACTTAGTTTACCATTTGTTCCACACTAATTAACCGCCTAGTTTACCACTTGTTCCATTAACCACTCAGTTTACCAGTTGTTCCATTAACCACTCAGTTTACCACTTGTTCCATTAACCACTCAGTTTACTACTTGTTCCATTAACCACTCAGTTTACCAGTTGTTCCATTAACCACTCAGTTTACCAGTTGTTCCATTAACCACTCAGTTTACCACTTGTTCCATTAACCACTCAGTTTACCATTTGTTCCAGACTATTTAAGTTAACCACTTAGTTTACCACTTGTTCCACACTATTTAACCACTCAGTTTACCAATTGTTCTAGACTATTTAAGTTAACCAGATATTTTACTATTTGTTTCAGACTATTTAGATTAACCAACCACTTAGTTTACTAGTTGTTCCAGACTGTTTAAGTTAACCACTCAGTTTACCAGTTGTTCCAGACTGTTTAAGTTAACCACTCAGTTTACCAGTTGTTACAGACTATTTAAATTAACCACTCAGTTTGCTACTTATTCCAGACTACAAATTTCTGGGTATCATGAAAAGACAGTTTCCCAAGGTACCAATCCTTGGTCTTACAGCTACTGCCACAGCTAAAGTAGTTAGTGATGTCCAGAAGATGCTGAATATTGGTGGATGTCTTGTTCTCAAAGCATCATACAACAGACCAAACTTAAAATATGAGGTAAAACAACATCTGCTTTCCTATTTCAATACATGAAAGTAATGTGCCGTTTACAGTGAGACAGAACTAATGTCACAGATAAGACACTTGAAGTGCACACCAGTGTTATGCATCAGTAGTTAGAACCAAACGATCACTCTCCAGCTGTCTCATGATCCACATGTACTTGTTGTGTTTATTATTATTTGCTCCATGATTGGCTCAACAGTAATTCAGACTACTGACAATGTTAAAATTTAGGATTTGATGCCTGTGATTGGCATAGCACAAATAGCTCAGTGTATAACTTTAAGCTTATTTAGTATATAGTGTAGTATACCTGGTATTTAGTGTTTAGTGTAGTATACCTGGTATTTAGTGTATAGTGTAGTATACCTGGTATTTAGTGTTTAGTGTAGTATACCTGGTATTTAGTGTATAGTGTAGTATACCTGGTATTTAGTGTATAGTGTAGTATACCTGGTATTTAGTATACAGTGTAGTATACCTGGTATTTAGTATACAGTGTAGTATACCTGGTATTTAGTATATAGTGTAGTATACCTGGTATTTAGTATACAGTGTAGTATACCTGGTATTTAGTATATAGTGTAGTATACCTGGTATTTAGTATACAGTGTAGTATACCTGGTATTTAGTATATAGTGTAGTATACCTGGTATTTAGTATATAGTGTAGTATACCTGGTATTTAGTATATAGTATAGTATACCTGGTATTTAGTATACAGTGTAGTATACCTGGTATTTAGTATACAGTGTAGTATACCTGGTATTTAGTATATAGTGTAGTATACCTGGTATTTAGTATACAGTGTAGTATACCTGGTATTTAGTACACATGTGCAGTACACATTGTTTCTTATTTTTCTATTTATGGTTATTGGGACTATACAATTATGTACAGTACACATTGTTTCTTATTTTTCTATTTATGGTTATTGGGACTATACAATTATGTACAGTACACATTGTTTCTTTTTTTTCTATTTATGGTTATTGGGACTATACAGTTAC